ACAGATGATGAATCTGAGTTTGGGAAGTGAAATAACTTACTCAAACTTACTCAGCTCATTTGTGATAGAGAAAGGACCTAAATCATGCATTTTTAAATGGAAGCATCATGCACTCATGGTGCTTCAAGGCTGACTGAAGAGAAGCTCTTTTTCCTTTCTAGAACATTGGCAAGAGTTTGGCAAGTCTCTGATTTCCAAGGTCATCATTTCTCCTCTCTACAATTGAATACTGACTGGCTCCTTTCCAGTCTTCAGGCACCTTATCCATCTACCCATTGCTCTCAAAAATAACTGCTTAATGGTTCTCCAGTAGCTCCAGCCAACTCCTTAAGGGCTCTTGAGAGCAGATCATCTGGAACAGCTAGCTGAACTCATCCAATTTTTTTTTTAAAGGGATCTCTGATCAGCTCTTTCCTTGCTCCCACCACCTATGTGATTTAAATTGGTTGGTCTGCTTCCCTAACACTCATAGAATTCTCTCGACCAAGAGCACGCTTTGAGAGCAAACCAAATCTAGATACAGAGTACACAAATTGGGAGGGAGGAGAAGTGATGTCTAAAGCCAGAAGATTCAGACACATAGTTTTTCAGACCAGAATTCCTCTCCTGCATTCAGCTCATGACAACTGACTTCACCTGGCTGCCATGGAAACATCAGTCTCTGGTGGATGGCAAGCAGCACTTTAGACAGAAGCATCACAGGCTACCATGGTAACGCCAAAAAAAAAAAAAAAAGTAAAACGATACACTTCTCTCTTGGAGGAGTGAGAAGAAATGGATGAGGCTGCTGGGGAAAGCAGGCTAGAAGGGACAGGCTTTGGAAAGTCTGGCTCTGGCTTTAACAGAGAAGGGACTTAACAGACATTTAATAAGAATAAGGCAATGAAATAATGAAAAAGGCATGCTCTATGACTGGCCCTAGCAGGCTAACTGGTAACACAGTTTGCAAAGACTGTAAATAAGGACAGAATAAGATCAGTAACAGGATTAACAATCCTGACAAGGGAGATTAACTCCAATGGGGAAAGTTTCAGGATCTTTAAGGACAGGATCTTGATTAGTAGAAGTGGGGAAGACAAGAGAACAAGACAAGAAAAGACATGAAGCAAAAACAGGAAATGCAGAGAACTGTGCAGATATAAATACTTCTCTACTGACCAAAGACCTTGGCTTCTACAGTGATGCTGAGAAAAGTAAAGATCAAAGGACCTGAAGTCAGACTTTGTGGACTGGAATCCCAAACTTGCTGTGTGACTACAGCAGGTTGTTTAATCTCTTTGGGTATCCGTTTCCTCACTTGCAAAATGAAGTTAACAAAAGAGTCTACCTGAGGTTCTTGTGAGGATTAAATGAGTTAATACACATCAAGTGATTAGAACAATGTCTGTTGTTGTGGGCCAAGATGATTCTCTTAGTGACCCTATGGGACAGAGTAGAACTGCCCCCAGGGTTTCCTAGGCTGTAATCTTTACAAAAGCAGATCACCTGTCTTTTCTCCCATTGAGCAGCTGGTGGGTTATGAACCAGACAAAAACCAAACTCACTGCCTTCGAGTCAGATCTGACTCACAGCAACCCCTCCTTGGGTTTCTGAGGTGGTATCTTCCTTCTGAGGAGTGGCTTGTGGGTTTGAACCACCAGCCTTCTGGTTAGCTGTCAAGTGCCTTAGGTTATGAGCTCCGACTTTTCTTTGGGTTTGCAGCCAAGCACTTAACTTTAGCGCTCCTGAAAAATGTCTAACCCACAATAAATTCTGCATATATGTTAACAATTAACATTATGCCACTTTCTCACTTTTCAGAGCCAGAATAGCCTCTTTACTCCCCAAGTCTTACAACCACATAATTTTCAACAGACCCTCTCCTTAACAGGGAAAAGAGGGACAATGGTCTTTCTCCCTTCAACTTTTCACTCACCTCCCTTCATCAAAACCACCAGGACTAAAGGGTTGTTAAGTCAAGCTCCTGCTTCCTTTAGTAGCGCACCTCTGGGGGCTGTTCGTGCCTAGGGAGGAAGTAGGCAGAATCCCAATGCCAAAGACATAGCAATTTAAAGTCCAGGGAGGAAATATCACTACCCTGGAAGCCAAAAGTCAGGAGAAAATCCTTTGTTTAGAAACGAAGGCTGGTGGGGCAATTCTAACTATGCCAGTTTAAGGATCTCGGGCACAGTCTCACTTGTACCCCAACCAGGTGCCATGCTCAGGCAGAAGCCTTGGAGGGGGGCTTCCCTTATGTTGGGCTGGGCCTAGAAGCGGCTTTGCCCCCTTCTCTCCATTCAACCACCCCCTCCAGAGGGATGAGTAACAGGAAGGCACTGAGTCACATGCAATGACACTGGCTGTCACCCACTAGACACCCCCTAGACTAGACCACTAGACTAGGGTTAAGACTCGTACAAAAGTCTTCTCAGATGTTTCACTTCCACCATCTCCCTCCCAGCAAGAAGCTGTATATACAGTTAAGAACAGGAAACAAGAACTAAGATGGATGTTGTTGTTGTTAAGTACAGTCGAGTCAGCTCTGAGTCATAGCGACCCTATGTAAAACAGAATGAAACAGTGCCTAGTCCTGTGCCAGCCTCACAACCCTTGCTATACCTGAGCCCATCATTGCAGCCACTGTTATCAATCCATCTTGTTGAGGGTAAGGGAAAATGCAAAAAAGGCAAAAGTTAGGGATGAAAACATAAAGAAACCAAGCTGAGGCTGGAGTTCATCTGAGCAGGAGGGCAGGGAGCCCAGGCCTGTGGGTATTTACATTAGTTTAGAGGTGTCCAAGCCAATCTTCAGAAGGCCTGGTCCATGGCCTCAGGATGACTAACAAGGATGGTCCCCACTGAGGCGTCTCAGGATGCATTAGCAGCCAAATCAATAACTGTAGGGGGACTGGGCCACAGCCAGAGGTTCCTACCTAAAAATAGTGTACGTTCCTTCCCGTCCCCCAGTCCAACGAGCAAGCTAGGACAGGAAGGAACTGGAAGACGTACATACGTACGTAAGGGTGGCAATGAAGGGAAAAGCAGAAGCAGGTGACAAAGAACAGAGGTCTAGAAGAATCAGAGCTAGTCCTAGGTCCCAGTGGCCTTTAAGCCAAAAGCAGTCCTCAAGTACTTAATGAGTTGGTTTTAAAAGCAACCCTACAGGCTAGTCACCACAAGATCATCATACCACTTAGAAGTTTGAGAGCTGACAGAGAAATTAAAACCTAACAGCAATTATCCATATTTTTAGCATGATAATAAAGTCTTAACATTCAGTTGCCATAGAGATCAGTAAAGAATGGAAGAACCCCACAGATCCCTGGCCCTGGGCCCCTGGTCTTCTTTGGGTTGTTTCCTATGCTGGTGAGCCTGGCTCGTCCCAGGTTTCAGCCTCCCAAAGCAGGCAGAAGGTGAACCTCCCCTTCCAAGAGCTGTTCTTCCCAGAATTTACTGTCCCAGGCAGAGCGAGGCAGAGCAAGAGTTGAGTGGACAGACCTAGGCACCACAGACACATCAGGTCAGGGGAGCCTCGACAAGGAAATGGCCAAACTCCTTTGGAGACTTGGCTGGGAGTTCTACTACTAAGAAGACCAAAGGCAGGTACAGAGGCCAACAGGATAAGAATGGTGAGTTTAGGCGGTTTCTCTGGTACTTAAGTTCGTGGAGATCATGCAACATGCCTAGAAAAAAGTACAGAATGTGCCACTGTCACACTGCCATCTGGTGGAAAGACACAGAGACAGAGCCTGGAAGTCTACGCTTTGGGCAGGGAGCATAGGGTAGATACGGGGAACCCTGCCCAGAAATGAGCTTTCTGGCCATCTTTCTTTCTAAGAAAAAGGTTAAATACAACAAAATAAAAAGAAAATACAATGGCACTGCAAATGTTTTATATCCCTAGAACCATTCGTGGCTTTGGCTCATGAGAAGTTAAAATCAGACAGACACATCAACTGAGACTACATACATATGGGCAGCAGCCACTACGACAGGGGGCTTGCCTTTTGTACAAAGTTTATATACATGTATATATATGTATACATATTTATATACACAGACACAGGGTATAAAATCCAGTGAGAAGGGCTCACATGAGCTCAGGTAGGAATCGGGAATGGCTTTCCCAGCCAGGGTTGAGCCTGTGGTAGAGGCACACAAGTAGAAGAGCATAGCAGTTTCTCCTCCACCCTCCCACTCTGTGCCAAAGGGAGGACCTGGGAGGAAGGACAACTATACACACGAAGAGGGAAGATAATGGAAAGATACCCTATCTTCATTAAACTCCTGAAGGTCCCTATGGCATCCAAAATGACTCACAGGATAAATCACTTCCACAACTCCCAGCAAGACACTATGCCAACAGAAGTTCTGGCCCCAAGCTACACCAAGCTGAGGCCAAAGATAGATCTCCCAATGCACATGTCCATCTTGTCTTCCAGGGCCCTACAGCAGCCAGCCAGTACCTTCAAAGTTCACCTCCCCAAACTCCAACACCCTCTGGAGCCAGAGGTCCTAACAGGCTTTTTTTTTTTTTTTAGTAAAGGTTGAGGAAAAGGCGAGAGGTTAGTTTCCTCCACTGATGTCCTATGGCCTTCCCAATGGGGGAGGAATTGAAGAATCACTAAGAGGTGGCTGGAAAGGGCAATGAAGGTCATCTTAGGAGACACAACACACAGAAACATGTATTCAATGCAGGTGTCGATTCTGTACTCTTAGACTGGGAGCTTTGTTCAGCAGAGTCCATTTCCAGTGAGGTCATAGGCAAGAGATCATCTTGGTGGCCAATGGTAGTCTCAATCTCCCTAGAGTCAATGTCACACTTTTAGGATGGCTTGGTCCACACATGGAAAGAAGGGGTTGTGGAAGGGCATATGTAGAGAAGAGAATGGTGGGACCCTGAGGCCCACGGAGGCAGTGTACTGGGCCACTGATTTATCTATGGCAAGAAGAAAAGGAAAGGTAAACTGGAAGCCAAAAGAAAAAGAAAAACCAAAGAGTGAAATGGGCTAGGCCTGAGACTCACATGGTCGGGGGGGTAAAGAGGCTGGAGAGCTGGAAGCACTGTGAGGCGACTGCCTGGGAGGCAAAGTTCAGTGCTGGATTCAGAGCTGAAACAAAGAAAGGCAGAGAGGGTGAGTGAGTACAGAGCTCTCCTTATTTTCAGGCCCCAAGCCTTCTCTCCCTCTGCCAAGTCTGAGTCTACCAGTCAGAGCTGCTGGGTTCAGAGCCCCTAAGGGAACTGCTCCATTCAGTTGTAGAGCCCGGGCAGCAGCAGCAGCACTAGCAGCTGTGGTCGGCAGCTGGATTCCAGAGCCTAACAGTGGAAGAAAAGGTGAGGTTAAGTTCCAGTCCTGTATCTCGAACTCAACCCCACATTCTTCACCCTGCAGAGAAACTCTACCTTCTGCCAGTTTGGTCATGAGCTGCAAACGTCCACCTGCTGATCCCAGATCCAGCTCCTGGTCCCCATCAGGAAAAGTGATGTCTGTGCCACCATCCAGTCGCTCAGTAACATGGCCAACCCTCATAGGTCGACCAGCAAGCTCAAAGCCATTTAACTGTTCCAGAGCCCGCCGGGCACACTCGGAGTCAGAGAACTACAAGAAACCCAGGCCTGTTAGTCACCTCCTGGCTACAGACAGGCTCCCAAAGTCCTACTAACAGTCTCTGTCTTTATTTTCCCAGGAAAATTGTATGTTTACTGCAGTACAAGCTTCGATTTCCCAGGGAATATAACCTAAGATCTCATCCCTCAAAATGACTCTCTGAAAAGGACCTTTTCCAATAGACTCAACAGCAATCACTTACCAATATTCCAGGCCCAGTAAGAATAATGCAAAAAATCTATAGACGGAATGTCAGCCAACAGGTTGTTTCACAGAAGGGCACATAAAATGGAGAGTAAGACACAAGGAGAACCAAGGCTCCTGGGCTTGTAAGTTTCAGTTCTCAGTCAAGAACTAGGAATCTGGAACTTCAGAGCCTTGCCTTGGGAAGGAACATACCCTGGCACTGAGAGCAAGACTCTGCCACACCCCCATATACACACCAGAGCTGTTGACTCAGTGACCTGCTTACCAGAGGACTTCTACACTCTAGTCCCTTTCAGGACGACAGCATCAGCAGCACACCTGGTATAAAAAGGATTCCCAGTCTGTTGTTTGTCCAAGTGTGAAGGCTGCTGACCTAAAAGGCTGCCACACAAGCACAAAAAAGCCCCACAGAAGCCTTCCTGTATCTAGATCACACAGGGGCCAGAAAAAGTACTAGCCATCATGGAATCCTCAATACCATAGCTGGCTTTGTTTATTCCCTTACTGCTGGTCAGCACATGATACTGACAGTTCCTAGGCAGGTGGCCTGCCTCTACTAAATACTTCTGAGGTAAGCAATTCTCATAATATGGCACAATCTACTTCTACTCTGCCCTGTGGGTAGTTGTGGGGTGTCTGATGCCTGGAGTGACCCCAGAAAGTATCAGTTTCTATCAAACTTCATGGCTGGCAGCCAGCCCTCATCACACTGGAGTCACACAGGGATGGAAGATCCAGTTATAGGCATTGGAAACCATTTTGCTAGAGTCACTATTAGGGGGCCTCACTGTTCTCCCTACAGTACTATTTAAACATAAAAAACCTTCTCAATGAAAAAACTCCTTCAAAAAGGGTAACATCAGAGGGAAGTACAACTTTCTATTCCTACCCTTAACACAAGAACAATAAACCAATTCTATAAAACATGTATTTCAAAGCCCATACCTAACCTCCCTTATTCCCCCAACCTGTTTTGCAACAGCCTGGAATCACTACCATTACCCAAAAAGCAAGTTGTAGCACCAGTGAAGCTGGTTAAACTCCTGGATACCCCCAGACCAGGGTCACTGACAGTGTGTAGGAACAAAGCCAAGATCTCAAGCAATATACTCATCTTGAGGGGCAGAAGGCTAGTCCAAGCTTCAGGCATCAGTGTGTATGGGTCATTTAGACAGTTCCTAAAGGAGGAGGATGAAGCTAAGCTGCAAAATCAGATTAAGTGGACAAACCTAAACTAAAATAAAAAACTAAAAGACTGGAGACTCACCGTAATGAAACCATAACCTTTAGAGCGGCCTGTATTTGAGTCCTTCATCAAAACAATATTATCAATCTGTAGAATGGGAAGGAATGATCAGTCATCTTTTTGGCTAGCCCACGTCTTAGATCTTTCCTATCTATTCTAAATATTTCTAACTTTCTAGTCAACAATTGTATCTCTCCAAATCTTCTTTTAAAAAGAGGTGAAGGCTCTTTCTTTCTATAACATGTTTTCTGACTGATCTTAATCTGGACCCCATTATTTGATTGCACTGTGTGTCTCATTCCTTTGCCTAATGAGCAGCAAGAATGTAACAATAGAGCCTTACTTTCACAGCATGGACCCAAATGCCTGTTATGACATATGCAATCTGTGGGCTAATCATGGCCAGAGAGAACAGAGAGGTACAGTCCCCTGCCTCACTTTTTCCCAATTTCCTTCCAAGGACACTTCACCTTCTACTTACTTTGCCAAAGGGCTCAAAGATGCCCCGGAGCATGTCCCCGGTGATATTGAAGTGTAGGGAGCCCACATAGAGGTGCATTGGCCCACCACTGCCTTTCTGCAGATTGTTGGCCATGGCTGCCAGTCGGTTTTTCTCAGCCTGGAAAAGGAAATGACAGGTCATGTACCACACCCTCTGATTCCAATCTTATATTCTCTCTGTTAGTTTCTCAGCCTACTCACCTGTGAGGCTTGCACAATGATAGGTACTCCCAGCAGCCGTTGCCCAGTCAACCCAATGGCCAGTGGCACAGACTGGATTTCACAGAACTCCACATAGGCAATACCCTTAGAACGACGTGAGTTCCGATCTGAGATGATACGCACATCACGAACCTATCCAGGGCAAAAAGGAAATCCTGAGTTGGGCATAAAAGGGGATAAAAGATAGGTTACTCTTAAGAAAACCAAGGAGGTGAGGGGTGTTACCTTGCCAACAGCAGAGAAGAAGTCCTCCAGGTCTCGAGGCCGAATGCGGGCAGCCAACTGCATACAAAAAACTGTGCGGGCATCACGCTCCTCAGGACTCAGATTATCAACAGGCTCCCTACAGAGTGAGTAGAATTTGAGACCACTCTTCTCAATAGTTGGTCATTGTTCTCCACCTAACCCTCAAGTACTACACATTCCTTTAGTTTTGCTTTAACCTTTTGTTCACACATCATGATTTCTAAAAAAGTGCTCATATCAACTCACCTAACTGGGCTTTTCTCTCTGAAATGAGGACTCTTGCTTTGTCCATACCTATGCCTATTGAAAAGAGAAAAACAAAACTAAAAATCATGTTACTAAACCTTACTCACACTGGTCCAACACTGGGTCTTCCATCTTGAGGAAACCAGATGCCAGTACCTCATCTCACATGTGAATTCTTAGCACCGCCCTTCCAATAACTGGGTAGCCTGCCTACTACACAACTGGTCATAAGCACCGTTATAGTGACTTGTGTCCCCCCAAAATATGTCAACTTTGCTAGGCCATGAGTCTCAGTATTACGTCATTATCCTGTGTGTTGTAAATCTTAACTTCTTTGATGTTAATGAGGCAGGATCAGTGGCAGTTATGTTAATGAGGAAGGACACAATCCAGAGAATTAAGTTGTATCTTGAGTTGATTTCTTTTTACGATATAAAAGAGATAAAGCAAGTGAGCAGAGATCAGAGGGACCTCCAATCACTGAGAAAGTAGAGCCAGGAGTAGAGCCTGTCCTTTGAATCCAGGATCCTAGATCTAGGGAACGACTGATAACAAAGATCTTCTCCTAGAGCCAACAGAGAGAGAGAAAACCTTCCCCTAGAGCTGGCACCCTGAATTCAAACTTCTAGCCTCCTAAATTGTTTGTTAAAGCCATCCACTTGTAGTATTCTGTTATAGCATCACCACGTAACTAAGACAAGCACCCTTAAACAGGGTCCATAGTATACTCAGGATTCTCTGTTGTTGTTGTCATATGCCGTCGAGTCGGCCCCGACTCATAGCGACCCCTCCTTGGGTTTCCGAGGCAGTTACCACTACGGAAGTAGGATTGCCCAACCTTCCTTCCGAGGGGTGGCTGGTGGGTTTGAACCGCCAGCCTTCTGGTTAGCAGTCAAGTGCCTTAGGCACTATGCTACCAGAGCTCCTAGGTGGTCCAAATTACTGTGCTTTACTGCTAATCAAAAGGTTGGCAGTTTGAGTCCAGCCAAAGGTACCTCAGAAAAAAGGCCTGGTGATCTTCTGAAAAGCAAGCTTTTATGTAACAGTTTACTCTGACACATGTGGAGTTGTCATGCACTGGAAGAGACTTGCTAGCAACTGGTTTAGAGTACCCTTGGTGTTTTATCCAGATGGTGATACAAAGGTGATCTTATTAGCAAAAGGTGATACCCAGTGGCAAGTGGTGGACTCCTGTAGTGCACACGATCCTCATGACGCCGGTCCCAACTTCGTGACTCACTACTACGTCGACGATCCCAGCTACGGCTGCGATGACGACGTTGCCGATCCCGACTTCGGCTCCGACTATTTCTCCGTCTGTGTCGATCATGGTCTCGACTTCGACTACAGATGGAAATGACTATGAGTTTGTTAAAGAAGAAACAAATCTGTTCTGCCTTTTAATATTATCTTTCCATTTATAGTAACTCCCCAAATCCAACAGCCCGAGGATTACTGACCTGCCCTTTCTATCTCTGCTTCTACTGTGGCTCCGACTCCTCTTCTTCCTGTGAAGGACAGCGTAAATTCTTACCTCCGAGCAGCTTTCATGATCTCTCCCAAGGAAAAGAATGACAATAAGACCAGGCTAAAACAGAAAGCAGTAAAAGACCAAAGCCCAGAAGATGATCTGGCAGTAGTTCACAGGAACTGCAAAACACCAACTTCCACAGCCCTGAATGCTGCAGGCATCTGAGGCAGCCATCTTTACCCCCAAAGCCAAGCAAAAGCTGGTGTTTCCAAATCAGAGATCTTCTTGCTATTTTATTCATATGAAATATACTGACGCTAGGACTGACCCACAAATCTACACTGGAAAGCTAAGACTAGAAGATCATTAAACCAAGTCACCATTATTCCCATGACCCCGTGGAGCCATTACCAAAAGCCAGCAGTTTCAGAGCAACCACCTCCCTGTTCTGGCTTCTCTCCAATGGACACTGATGTTTCCCTTCCCCAAGGCGCCAACTTGTTTCTTCACCCCACACTCACTTGCTTGTCTCCACACTGGTGCTGCTCCCACTAGTCCCACTGCCATTGTTGCCACTGCTGCTGGTGCTGTTGCTGGTATTGCTAGGGCTGTCCTTTTTAACCTCTTTTCTTTGCTGCTCATCCTGAGGGGTTCACCAGGAAATTGTCACAAAGCAAAAGGCAGCAGACACACAGATTCCATTGGGCAAAGAAAGAACAAAGGTGAACAGGAAAGATATGCCCATGAAATCAAAGCTCTCAATTATCTATCTAGCCAGATTTTGAAGACCTGGATCTCCTAACAGGGGGAGTAAGAGGAAGCAAAGAAATTACCCACAGGGAAGAGATCAGAGTAACACATTTTGATGTCAAAGCTTCAGCCACCCAACATCTGTTCCAATAACATTGATATCCCAGAACAGAGAGAAAATAGAGCTAAGTCAGAGGTACACTGACTTCCACTGTGTCACCGAGAATTATGAACAAAACACTTATTCCCACATCATGCTCCCACCTCGGTCTTTAGGGCCTTTTCTAAAAGCATGACCCTAGAGTATGGGACCCCCCAATGAGACTAGCTAAAGCCCACACCTTTTATGAATAGCTGTACAAAATAAACAAGCAGGGAAAGAGGAGTCATAAAATGCTGAAGTGAGTGGGGGGAATATTACCTCCTCTTTTTTATAGGGAGCCTCCAGCATGGCCTCAATTACTATATCAAAGTCATCAGATGCCATCGTGTCTGAGATGAGAATCTGAGGAGAAGACATTAACACTTAAGAACCTCATTTATATTTCTCCCCCTTCCAGTAGCTCACACTCCCTTTCCCCTCCAAGAAAGAGACATCAGGATATATAGTTCCATTTCTTGAACTCTAAAGGGATCTTGGGAAATCTGGTGGCGTAGTGCCTAAGGCATTTGACTGTTAACCATAAGGCTGGCGGTTCAAACCCACCAGCCACTCCTCAGAAGGAAGACTGAGCAATCTACTTCCATAAAGATTTACTATCTCGGTAACCCAAGGAGGGGCTGCTATGAGTCAGAATCAACACGATGGCAGGGAGTCTGGATTTTTTTTTTTTTTTTAAAGGGATCTTACCAGCATCGTTCACCTTAGATTTATAGATCTGAACTAGCTCTGCTTTGTGGCTTAGAAAAGATCAAGGGTCTAGAAGGAAATGGAATACCAAGCTAGAGACAAAATACTAAAATACAGACTCTGTTTTGTGAAGAGAAAATATTGGTACTCAAAATTTCCATTCACTTTACAATGGGAAGTAGGCCTCCATTTGACCGTATAAAATTCTGAGTAAGTAACTGGCTTAAAGTTAAACCATAAAAATAAGTACACATTCGAAAACAAAAGGTAAAGATACAAGAGTGAAAATTAGAAGCAAGACAAACCAACACTAAAGTGATGCACATTTACCCTAAGCTATTTTCCACTGGGAGCTCTGCTAGCATAGTGCCTAAGGCACTTGACTGCTAACCAGAAGGCTGGCAGTTCAAACCCACCAGCCACTCTTTGGAAGGAAGGTTGGGCAATCCTACTTCCGTAGTGGTACTGCCTCGGAAACCCAAGGAGGGGTCGCTATGAGTCGGGGCCGACTCGATGGCAAACAACAACAACAACATTTTCCACTTACCCCAAAACCAGTAATTAGGGCCTCATCATTAAGCATTTTCTGTCCAATACTAACTAGAGTTTAGATAACTCACAAACATTAAATCAGTCTTAACCAATCCCGTTTTGAAGTCCTTCTGTCTAGGCAGGCAGGAAAAGACTTCTTGCCTCCCTCAACCTTTCACATCTAGCAATCAATTGTCTTTCCCCAGGCTATCCACCACAGGTCTGTCAATAAGTAAAACAGAAGATATCAAACAAAATCATTATGATAAAATTAGCCAGATAAAAAAAGTGTACACTCTATATGATTCCATCTGTATACAACTCTAGAAAATGCAAACTAATTTTTAGTGACAGAAAGCAGACCAGTGGTGCCTTAGGACAGGAGTGGGTGAGGTGGGGCAGGGAGGAAGGACACAAGGAAACTTTTGGGGTGATGTTTGTTATCTTGACTGTGGTGATGTCTTCATGGATGTATATACACACAAAAACCCATCAAATTGTATATTTAATGGGTGCAGCTTATTGTACATCAATTATACCTTCATAAAGCTATTTAAAGGGAGCTCTGGTGGCATAGTGCCTAAGGCACTTGACCGCTAACCAGAAGGCTGGTTTCAAACCCACCAGCCACTCAGAAGGAAGATTACCCAATCTACTTCCATAGTGATACCGCCTCAGAAACCCGAGGGGTTGCTATGAGTTGAAGACAACTCTATGGCATATAACAACAAACAACCACAAACCTATTAAAAAGTGATCTGAGGAATTTCTATACAAGGAGGCTAATCAAAATCAGACTTTCTACTGGAGTTTTGTCCTCTTAAAGCAGGTAATGTATCACTCAGTGATCTGAGTTGCCCTCAGAACCCACTGCTTATTTTGATCATTTATTTATAAGAATTGTTGTTGTGGTTAGGTGCCCTCGAGTCAGCTTTGACTCACGATGACCCCATGTACAACAGAACCAAACACTGACTGCTCCTGTGTTACCCTACCTCAACCCATATTGTTGAGCATCTTTTATAAGAGTGTTATTGTTGTTGTTATGTGCCACAGAGTCAGACCCGACTCATAGTGACCCCTCCTTGGGTTTCTGAGGCAGTATCACTACGGAAGTAGATTGCCCCATCTTCCTTCCGAGGAGTGGCTGGTGGTTTTGAACCTCCAGCCTTCTGATTAGCAGTCAAGAGTAGTAACACTTATAACTTATAGTACCTATTAAGTGCTAGGTGCTGTACTAAGCATGTTATAGAGATGATTCCTGGAAAAAATAAAAATTATCTGGAGCCAAATTTAAGGCTTAAACTTTAAATCTAAGATCAACAGATATGTATAAAAACCAGTAAACTCAATTTCTTATAATACCATCTTACATTTTTTAGTAATCAAAGACAACATTGCTGTAGAGAGATAATATCTGAAACAAAGCACACATGAACAAATTATCAAGAATTGTAATAAATACTATCTGGCTCATGGTGACAAAATGGCTCTAAAAGTACAGATTTTGATCCTCAAACTGTTCTTTTCAATCATTTTGACTGTCAAGTCTACAAATTTTTTAAGTTAGCCGCAGAGTACTTAATCATTGTGCCACCTTGTCTGCCTTAAAAAAAAAAAAACCCAAACCCACTGCCATTGAGTCAATTCCGACTCACAACTACCACTGGGTTTCTGAGATGGTAAATCTTTACAGAAGTAGATTGCCTGGTCTTCCTTCTGCGGAGTGGCTGGTGCATTTGAACCGCCAACATTCTGGTTAGCAGTCAAAGGCCTTACTTAGGCAATGCATCACCAGAGCTCCTAAAAACCTGCTTTGTTGTTATGTGCCTTTGAGTCGGACCCCACCCATAGCGACCCCTCTTTGGCTTTGCCCCATTTTCCTTCCCAGGAGTGGCTGATGGGTTTGAACCACCAGCCTTCTGGTTAGCAGTCAAGTGCCTTAGGCACTATGCTACCAGAGCTCCCAAAAACCTGCTTTAGGGGTCCCGAATTATCCCAGTGCCTGAACCTTATGAGAGGACATTCAAATCTCAAGCCAGAACTTAGGCCTCACTGCTAAGAACCAATGTGAGCCCAGTTCAGGGAGAATTTACCACATGTTAGAGTCCCAGGGGTCATGGTAGCTCCATCTCCTGGGTCTGGTCACTAAGCTGGCCACAAACACCTCCAAACTGAAAGCAGCTTAATTAAGTACAGGTACAATGAAAACGGGAAAAACATTACTTAAAGGATTGCTCTCCTACGCTGTGGAACAAGCCAAGGCTATGCTTTAAAAAAAGTCCTGTAATTAACTGGTTGGCAAGTTACTGCGAGGACCAGTGTCCCAGCGTTCAAACTTCACATGTGGATGCAGTAGACGCCTCTACCACCACTAAATGTGTAGTCAAAAAAGGAAAGATGATGAAAGCCCATAGAAGCCGCCGGAGTATTAATCTCGCAAAACGGAGATGGAGAAGAAATCTCAAATTTCTCATCTCTCTCTGAGTGGCTGCACTAAGGGCTCAAAACCTGTCTCCTCCTGGGCCTCGCAGGGTGGATGGCCTCCTCCCTAGAATGGATGAGCCTATATATCTCGGCTACCAGGACTGGAAAGAAATCGAGATCCGTAAGAAATAGCATCTTTAGCAGTACGAGAGCCACAAAAAGGCCTATCCCTAAAATTATACCAGTGAACTCTATACACGTAGTGAACATTTTCAACTCACAATACACAGGAATAAAAAGCTTTTTATTTCAAGTTTGCCCAATCTTGCTCATGACGCCATTTTCCCCCCGTGACGTCAGGGGGTGGCGCCGTACGGCAACGTCATGCATAGGTGACGTCGCGGTAGGGACTGAGTTTCGGGGTTTCTCACCAGCTCTGGGCCCCCGCAGGGAGGAGTCCCAGTTCTTTCCGTTCCTTTGGGAGTGTGGGGCGCGAAGCCCAGCTACTTCCCAGAGTTTCAGCAATAAAAGCAGCACTGCGGCTTGAGCTGCTCTTCTTCCTGCAAAATGGCGGCAGCTCCGCTATCTTCGAGCACCTTTCCCAATCTGCGCATGCGCCGAATCACTTACGCGGGGCTGGAACCAATCTCACTGGCATCGTGGCAACAGTACAGAGTACAGGTTTTCATTGGCTAAAACCCTAAGCTTGAGTGGCGCCCACCTCAGATGTGTTTTAGCAACTATCAAGTCCCCGATGATTGGCTAACTTCTCAGAGGGTCAACTTTGTTTGTAGCCGCCCCCACTCTGATTGGTTAAATGACACGTGGAAGGCGGGCCAAGGACTAGAGGAAAGGACCCACCCACCCACCCACCCTGTTCCAAGCGCTCCTGTCAACGCGATAGGCGGAGCGGAGAAAGTACAATAGACGTCCTCGAGTGACCCTAATTTGCTAAAGGGGTCACGTCGGTCTTCCCAGGACAACTTTGTGGACTGCGTCTGTTTCACAAAGAGAAGGATGCTGGACTCCACATTCACAATCTTCGCAGGCTATCTTCCCACTACTTCCCTCCACCTTCAATGCCTGTGACACACAGGTCTTGCCACAGATGTCTTCTTCCACAGTCACCCGAGTCATCGCCTGGTCCCACAGGTCACATACCTTCAGTTCAAGTCGTGTCTTAGACACTTCCCACTGCAAAGGCATACTTGAGAGTTTCTCAGGTCTCTTTTTTTGCAGCAGCAATCAGCCCTCTAACCAGAAAGGAACAGATGTCTGCCCTTACATTGCAAGGGCTTCAAGTCCCTAGAGAATTCAGTTGCCTAATAGAGCTGTCGAAAACATAGCTGATTATAACATGCAGTGAGGCAGTCAAAGGACCTGTTGCTATCCTGATGTAGAATACAAACATAATGCACCTTACCTCTAACATGGAGTTGAACTAGATAACCTTTTAGGACTTCAAACTCTAACCCAGTGTTATTAAAATAGGTTACTTCTCTGTGGAGTTGCCTGGATGACTCCCAGTTCTTCCCAAGAGTTAACTAAAGAACTGGCAGTGCAGCAGCTCAGGAAGGCAGCGGGAAGCTGGCTTCACTCACTACCCCATTTTCCACCAAGGCTGCAAACTCTTGTTTCACCACTAGAGAAATGACTAAGCAAGGTCCCTAATAGAACAGCCCTCAGTGTAGCTGGCCAGAAAGGCCTATATAGCCCAGGAGCCTAAGAGTCATCACTCAACTTCTTAAATAGGGAATAAAGCTAGGCTCCTGTGGGTCTTGCACAACATAAGGGAACAGATCTGAATATGGATGTGGAAGAAGACTGGCCAATCCACCTGGGAAACTCCAAAGGGGGTCACTATGAGTCGGAATCCACTCAATGGCAGTGAGTTAGTTGTTGTTTTTTTTTTTTAAAAAAATAAGGTGTAGAAGGCTTGGTGACACAGTGGCTAAAGCACTTAGCTGTTAACCAAAGGTGGGCAGTTTGAACCCACCAGTTGCTCTACAGAAAAAGATGTGGCAATCTGCTTCTGTAAAGATTTACAGCCTTAGAAATCCTATGGGGCAGTCCTACTCTGTCCTACGGGGCTGCTCTGAGTCAGAATTGACTCAACAGTAGTGAGTTTGAAGTGAGGTGTGAGAAAGCAGTCAGGGGGCAGCGGGGTTAGAGCAGGAAAGGCCGGAACGTCACTTTATTTGTATTTCCTCCTGCACAAAACCATCAAAATAGGAACACAGATGTGTAGGGAAAGGGCTGAAAGTTTGTTCAATCCAATGGTCTCACGGTAATTCCAGGGAGGCTCTTCAGGTTGAGTGTCTGGTTGGTGTGGCTTCAGACACAGTGTGGCTTCAGACACAGCACTAATCCTTCAAGCCCTGGCCTGAAGTGTTCACAGATTGGTAGCTTGGGTCCTGCAATTAACTCTCATCTTTTGCCCACTTTGATATAAGGCAGAAGAGCAGACTGAAATACTCCTCTCTGATGGGCAAGGGAAATCACAGCCCCATGATGTGCTGCACCTTCTGTGCTACTGGAGCAGAACCGGAAACTGCTTCAAGGCTATGGCCACTTGCAGGCATGGCTAGAGGCCAATGGTATATGAGCGGCCTGTGGGGTTGTGAATGGCAGAACAGACTGGTGCTGTAACAGCCCATTCATACCACACCTTCTTGGAATTGCTGCATCGCCAGAAACGCACACAGATAGTCTGGCCTTCACGCACCGTAATGGGCTGCTGTAGAAATAAAGACAGGGAGGTTCAGGGTGAGGTTAATGAATAATATGTGGCAATGCATTGAGCTTGGTGTGGAGATAAAATGATAAACATGAAAGACTATTTTAACACTCAAGAAGCTTATCTGAAGTCTATTAAACAATGAACAACAAGACATTGAGCAAATAATCAAAAGTGTGGTGAGTGTTGTGAACATATGCAGGGAACTATGAAAGTACCTGTGAAAGGGAATGGTGAAGCTAAATTGGTCTAGGAGATCAGGGAAAATTTATCTGACAATAGGAAGAGACCTGGAAGATAAGTTTAACTGGGTGAAGAGAAGAGCAAAGAACTTTCTTGGTAAAGGAAAAAGATATAAAAGCTTCAGGCAGGAAAGAAGACAGAGTATTCAAGGTTTATAAGGCTGAAGAAATGTAATCAAGGAGGACAGCAGCTGAAAAGGTAGGCAAGAACTAGATTCTGCCACGTCTTACAGGCAGTGTTCAGGATTTTTACTTTTATCCTAAGGGCAGTGGGAAGGCATTGAAGGGTTTTAAGCAGGAGCAAGAGATAATCAGGTTTGAGTTTTTAAAAGAAAGCTCTTGCTCAAGGTACAGAATGGGCAAAAGAACCATAGTAGATGTGAGAAGACCAGGCTGAAAGTCACAATAGATATCCAAACACCTCTAACAGGGATCCAAGAGCATATGAAAGCAGCTGAACATAGTCAAGTCATAGCCAAGTGCCATCCTAAGAGAACGGAAGGGACAATGACAAAAATTACTCCTCATTAACCTACAGAGTCTTAAAGGTGACTCCTACCTTAATGGGGAAGAGGATGGGAAACCATGAGAACATCCCAGGAGAATGAGTCTCTGGACGGATACCTGTGTGGATAAAATAAAAAAGTCTCCACAATTATGCCTTCTGCCTCAGTTGAAGAGTCTCTATTAAGATCACAAAAACAAGTAATCACCAATCTTCATTCACTGACCCTTTAGCTCCCCTTGAATCCAAATGAAACATGTACAAAAGCTGCCCAGGCAGCACAGCCTAATACCCTACCATCACTGCTCCCACTCACTCACTCAGAGTGATGTCCTGATAAAGCACAGTCTCAAAGTAGCCAGCAAAGCCATGCAGCACCGTGTTCACTTCAACGGGAAAGTCCAAGGTGCAGTAGCGGTTGTTGTCAATCATAGGATCTGTCAGGGAAGAGAGTTGTTGGGTGGTGAGGAGCCAGGAGTCCTAGAAAACTTGGTAAACCATAAGCAAGAACCACGAAGGGACACCTAGATAGGACAGTCCTGGGACAGTAAGGGAAGAAACTAGGAGGGTGTGCTCATACCCATCTAGCCAGAAGACAGCCTGAAGGAACTTACCTCTGTTGGGATGGCTGAAGGTAAAACAGGGCTGAGGTGCAGACAGCTGGTGGAAGTTGTGCAGCCGCACCACATAAGGCATCTCAAACTGGGCCTGTCCCGAGAGAAAGCGAGCTAGAACTGGAGAAGACAGGCAAGAGATATCTACTTCCCCAGGGCAAGATGTCCAAGCCTCAGAGACCCAGAAAGATAAAAACATAGTTTCACTTCAATTGCTATCCCACACTCTCATCTCCTTCACCTCTTCATTTTCACCAGTGGAAGAAAATAGTTGAAGCTAATACAAAAAAAGGAGTAAAGAGAATTGCTTCCCTCCAGAAGAGAGTGGCTTTTTACCTCAGGGTCGCGGTCCTTTTCTCGACAGGCTCGGACCTCATTGTACAACTTGGAGGAGGAGATGGGAGCCAAGAAAGAGGTGTACTCCCCAGGGATGCTCACACCATCATCTGTAGGGCAAGAGGGTCAAATTAGTTCCTGAGAGATAGAAATGGTGTTTCTGTACTGAGGCTCACATGCCCCTCCCCACCCCTTAACATAAAAACAGACCCAAGCTGGCATAAGCAGGGCAGGAAGAAGCAGTTTGACACTGTCACATTCCCGGGCTAGCCTGTTCCCAACTCTTGTCGTGAGGGATTCCATTTATAAAATCACTCAAGATTAAAACTCAAAGGAACCTGAAATGATAGAGAACTCTTCTCCTGGTTCCTAACTTTTGTGGGTCACAAAGCACTTTGACAGTCTGATGAAAGATAAACCTACGGTACGTATCACATCAGTTTAGGGAGTCCACAGACCTCAGATATAAAATCTTTGCTTGAGTCATCTTCTCATTTTTCAGATATGAACACTGAGATTCAGAGACTACTGCACTAGCTAAAGTCATAGAGCCAGCAGAGTAGCATGTCTCAAACCTACAGGATCTGCCCCCAAGTCCGACCCACATTCTCCTAAATCTTGTAACCTTCCCAGTTTGCTGCTCCACCCATTATCACAGCCCCCTCTCCTCCAGCCTTCCCACCAGATAATCCATTCCCCTTACTCAATACACCCCAGCTTGGAGGCACCTTTTAGGAAGTGCTGGGCTCCATCCAGGCACTCAGGTGACAGTTCATTGTCAGCAAAGGAACCCAGAAGCTCACTAACAATGATGTCTGCTTTCTCTGGAGCCACCCATTCCCGCATGTCTGAAGAGACTACTGTCACCTGGCTTCCCCATTCTTCAAACTGCCAGTTTTCTAGCCTAAAGAGAAGGTACAAATGAAGACATGAATGAGGACAATGGGCAACAGGGACAAACTTCCAAATAAACAAGTTGCTACTCACGTCACTACAGCATTTGGGTTTTTCTCCACAGCGTACAGCTTAATCCGCCGATCAGCCTGCTTGGCTGCCCGCAGGGAAGCATTCACCAGAGGACCCCGGCCTGCTCCCAGCACCATTAGCACCCTGAGAAAGGATGAGAAAGAATCAAGTGGA